TAAAATATCGAAAAATATACAGCGCGCGAATTTTAAATGAGAATTTCCGAAAACTTTTCAGTCTTAATGTATATAAACGAGTATTAAATCCTTGAAGACACCTACTAAGCATATATGGAACTCTAACAGATGCCATTCGTTTGACTTCACTTCAGTTCTTCCCATAAAACCGCGGCTCTTATTTGCTGATTCCTTGTCTCGTTTGGATATCCCAGTCTTTTGCTACCTTACGGTTTTCATTCAAGGACTATAAAATTATATCTTCTGCAACTACTGCAAATAATTTACCGAAACCATTTATATATCCGAGTCATTATTTCTTTAATAATTAAAGGTTTGAACTCTGACTTAGTGTTGGAACACCGAATAAATATCACTTGAAATAATATTCGATAAAATAAACGTCGTAAATGACATAACGAAGATGATGCTATCTGAAGAAAACTGGACCGCCATAGACCGATTCGTTGCGCTCAAATTCAGATAGAAAATATTTGATCTCTAAAATTAATCATTTCGAAAAAGAGATAAATAAATAAACCTAAGTAAGGCCTAGACGAGGCCTGACTAACGAAGAACATTAGTAATGGATAACCAACACAAGATCCTTACCTTGAGGTATTCCCAATAAAGTTACAGGGTAGAATCATCCCTGTTTTTTATCCGTACAAATCGGCGATATCACTATTGTGACGACAGTGACGATGCATGGACAGTTTTAAACCTTTTCTCCACGCTAAAAAAAAATTAATACTCGCATGCTACGGCACAGACTGCGATATATGAAATCTTGCAGAAGTTGGTAACCACCATGCCCAAATCAAGATATTTACTTAATGATAGCACTCAGGATGGGACTTGTAGGCTTGGAACCGAATAATTATGGAAACAATCCCCGTGATATGCAATAATTTCAAGATTCATTGTGCTTTAGTTTAAAAATCGATAGAAGTATTTTACAATTGATTGATTGAGAGAATCCAAAAATAAAGTGTACACAGGCTTAACATAATGTAGTTTTACTTCTCTGAATAGTTTCTATGAATTCATGTAAAATCGTTAATTTCTTTAGATAAAGCTTAAATTTTAAACCGTTTAGAAGGCAATATTTGCAGAGATAGCTTCCAGGTTACGAATTATTTGGACTAGTCCCGACGAATTTATACCCAATACTACAGACAACGCTTATTGGTACACAATTGTGTTTTTATAAAGCTATTTTTATAGGCGTTTCTATGATTTGACTTTATGAAATCAAATCTCTACACAAGCAGCTTTAATATATCTTGAAACGTAATCATTTCAGCTGTCGAAATTACCACATTTAAAAAACATAAAGAATGTTAACATAAGGGTATTTCTAAATTAACTCTATATGAAGTTGGTAAGCTCATATTCGTAAAGTTTGAAGTCTATTGACGTCTGAATACACCTTTTTAATAATATGTGGTAAAATCCAAAAAATATTTATATTTTTGTTGACTTTGTGTTACATAAACATTAAGCAAAATACAAGAAAATCTCACTTATGTATATACTTATTTGGTCGGAACAATCAGTTACAGGTTTTCGGCCTCACGCAGTACTCCGCTCCTGCCGTTCTATTGCACGAAAAGCTTTCCTCATTTTGAGCATCAAACATAGTTAGTGCTCTCTCAACATGAACACTCCACCAGAGGTACGGCTTACCTCTACCTCTTCTTTCTCCAACTGCCATTACAAATACATTTTTAGCTGAACCATCGTCAACCAACCTGGAGACATGACGAAACCAGTAGAACAGCTGTATTTTAATTTACTGAATTATATCAATGTTGTGATACACCTCGAACAGCTTTTAATTTATTCGAACGCGGTAGTCATCGTAAACTTATAGAGGACGAAATATAGTACAAGTAACTTTTATATTGAACACTTCCAATACTAATTTATTATTCCACGAAAGCATCCAGGCTTCAAAGTCACAGGTGCCACCAGAGCTCTATTGCGTATAGAGCACTAGTTCTGTCTGTCGATAGGGAGGTCTATGTTCTAACTATACCCATAGTAGCACCTACTGACATTGGTTATTCGTCAATTTATTAATATGATTGATTAAAAATCATTTATAAAATATTTATATTTTGCTTCATCAAATTTTTCATATTTATTCATATTTCTTTATTTATTATTGATTTCAAACATTTAGAAATGATGTTTGATAACTTACTAAGATTTTGGTATGATTTAGGCCCAAGTAGCCATGACCTTAACTTAGGATTGGATATTATTTTAAAAATGGGCGACCCTAACTGTTAAATAAATAAATCAAAAAAAGGTTATGGTTTGCAGATTTTATTTAGAAATTAATATGTTAAATAGTTATTTCGTTAACTTTATTTGTTTCATATCTCTATAACTTTCTAAGGTGACTAAATACCATTGTATTTGCGAGATCTTGTAAACATGGTTTGTGTATGTGCTAATTCGTTACATGCCTTTGATATTTAAGTAAAGACTATAATATCTTAATGTGTTAATATTACGGTCTTAGTTTTTCTTATAAGGCAACCCATGAAAGCGACAATTTCATCTGTTTTGTTATATATTCTCAAATCAAATGGTAAAAGATTTTGAGCGTTTTTACATCTTTTGCACTTATATTGACTCTATTTCAGTTTTACTAAAAAATAATTTCTGATCTTATGGTTTTAAAAACATTTTAAATATTTTTCGAATTAATATTTTATGCCACCACTGTACCTTCGTAGTTTTTGTCCAAATTTGGTTCTTGTCTATACTTTTGCCTCATCAATGAAAAACTTAAAATAATTCAGTTTAATGGAAAATAACTTATTTAACAATTTTAAATTTCAAACAAAATTACACTAAAATTATATTTTATTAGAACAAACATTAATTATTAATTGCGGTCTGCTATTCTCAATAATAATAACAAACGTCTAAGAAATTAAAAAATTGTAATTGCAGACTCGACAAATGTGTGCGGCAAACAATAATTAGGTGAGAACATAACATTGACACCCACAAAATTTAACCCTTAATTTTCTCAATTTTAAATTAATATTTTATGTATTAATAAGAAGACGTCACGCCATGCTAATAAAACCAGAGAACTATTATAACTGACATAAGAATATAAACTTTAATTTATTCAGATTTTAAGCAGTTGATTTACTCCTTTGAAGCAGTACAGATATTGTGATTAGTTTTGGATAACCTTAAGGATCTGCAGAAATAAAAATGTACCTAAAAATTATGATAGGTGCCGCTTTATTATTACAACTAGGTATCTTAGTAGGATTTTTTGGATTTCCACAGCTAATGAATAAAATGATAAAAAGCGTAAGACATACTCACTTAAGCATTAAAAATAATTTAATTGAATATTTAAAATTAATTTAAAGCAAATCAACTTGAAGCCCGGTTCGGATACACGGAAACTATGGGAGCAGTTTCCAATTGCAATCAATTTTTCCATTTACGTCTTCAATCTAACTAATCCAGAAGAGACGCAAAATGGTGGTAAACCGGTCCTACAAGAAATAGGTCCGTTCGTATTTGAGTAAGTTGCATTCATTTAAGCTGACTATATATATTTATATATATGTTATGGTTTATCTATTATATGACCCACATTTATTACATATATAGAAATGACCTTTTTACTCTTCTTCGTTTTTTCACGTCATAATTGTTTTACAGAGAATGGAAAGATAAATATAACATTGAAGATATTGAGGAGGAGGACGCTGTTACGTTCAACATGCGTAACACTTTTATATTTCGTCCCGATTTGGGTTTGAGTGGTGAAGAAATTGTTACAATCCCACACCCATTAATACAAGTTAGACACTTTTCTCTGTTATTTCTTTCCAAATACTAAGCAAACATATTTCAGGTCATGGCAATAGCCATCAAGCGCGATAAAGAAGCTCTACTTGAAGTTGTAGTGGACGGCATTAATGTTCTCTTTAAACCCACCAGCCCCTTTGTAACTGCTCCTTTTATGGATATATTTTACCGTGGTATTGATATTGACTGCTCCAGTGACCATTACGCAGCAAAATTGATTTGCTTAAAATTCTACACGGGCGATATAAAAGGTGGATTCCAAGTCAATGCAACCCATTTTAAATTTTCGTTAATGGGTGGAGTGAGTACATCACACCGTTTGAAACAACCCATAAGTATTATAAAAATTATATTCTTTTACAAATTTTGTTTCACTAAAGGGCAACCATAGCGATGCTGGACAATTCAAGGTATCACGTGGCATAAAAGTGAGTCGTAATGTAGGCCAAGTCTTGCAGTTCGATTACGAGGATGAGTTAAGTGTTTGGGATGGTGATGAGTGCAATCGTTTTCGTGGCACTGATTCGACTATTTTTGCACCACTTATGTCACCAAAAGACGGGCTTTGGAGTTTCTCTGGTGATTTATGCCGTTCTTTAGGTCCGAAATTTCAACGTAAGGTCAAGTATGATGGCATACCTGCATATCGTTATACCATGGATTTCGGCGATGTTAAGGTTGGAATGGAAATTTAAATTCAAATTCGTTGTTAATTGGTTACTTATGCCTTACACAGAATGAATTAGAGAATCATTGTTTTTGTAACAAATATCCTGATGATTGTCCTGCAAAAGGCACAATGGATTTGTGGCGATGTAATGAAACCCCAATGATTGCCTCACTTCCACACTTCTTGTACGCAGATAGCAAACTTCTGGCGGGAGTTGACGGTTTGGAGCCGCAAGAACAAAAGCACAGCATATTTGTGGATTTTGAAATTGTCGCATTTAAAAATTCTTGCTGGAATATATTTTGTTAATCAAATATTTTTCATTTTGTATATAGATTTCTGGAACGCCACTCTCTGTAGCTAAACGACTACAATTTAATCTAGATGTTATTCCTATAGAGCAACTAAAAGTTATGCAAAAACTGCGTCCTCTAGTTATGCCACTCTTCTGGGTTGAAGAGTCCGCCAACTTAGATGGCTCATTTACCGACATGATAAAGAAGAAAATCTTTTTGTAAGTGAAGTCCATATCTGCCGTACGTATAATTTAAATCCAATATGTTGTAGAGTTATCAAGGTCAATAGCACCATCAAATGGATTTCAATTGTGATGGGTGCTTTTTTATTCATATTGGCATTTTACATGCACTACACCAACAAACGAGACCGAAAGGTGTTTGCAGTTGGAGTTGCCGCCCAAAATGAGTTCAATAAGAAATATTAAAATTTTTAAAGCGTCTGCACTATTAACTTTAAATAAAAATATTAATCAATTAAAAAATAATGCCTCTACGAACAGAATAGTATTGAAATTTAACAATTAAAAATAAAAATATAATTAATTAATTAATTCAATTATTCTACAGCTGGTTTATGATTTCGTTCTAATATAAACACAGCAAAAGTAACAAAAGTCCAGAAAAATATGAGAACATGAAAAGTCAAGTACGGTTTTGGATCAGTTGGTTAAGGTGCACTGATTCTGAGCTTCACATTTATCAGGACCCGAGTTCGATTCCTGGTACTTGCAGTCTCAAAAATAATTATTACCGAATAATTAAATACAAGAATAATTTCGAAGACCACTGATGATGGGTATTTGGCAATACTCGAAACAGCTGTATGGTCAGCCAAAAATTCAATTAATTAAAATAATATAAAAAATAAAATTTTTGTTGTTGTAGTTTACTACTGTTCGAAAAAACTTCTTTATAAAATCTCTCTTTAAAATTTCTAAAAGGATAAGTGCGATTTGACAGATAAGTGTGATTTGATGCAATATATGTATGTATCTATGAATATATATATGGTACTTCGATATGTTAAACATAACATTGGTTTGGTTCGGTCTGACAAATTATTTCAATATTTTGTTCATTATTGGAGACTCAGCAGACCCAAATCTATTTCAGTAAAATTAAATAAAGATTTGGTAATTGGAAAGAAACCTATTAGATCCAATCTATACATTAGAACTAATTTATTTCAAAACGTATGCATATAAGATAGTTTAAGACAAACGTACGCTTAAGTAAGCGTCTTATTATTATGTACTATATATTATAATTATATAGAAAGATACTTTCGATATTGTACTACTCACAATAATCAATATAGGAGCAGTCCACTCCTTCATCAAGTCTCTTGCATTAATACATTAAAAAATCATTTTATATTTAAGATAATTTTTTTATTTGTACAAATAGTTTTTAACTAAATAATAGCATATTTTGTACTTAACTTTTATGTGTTTATAAGGAAGTATTATAAAATAATTAATTTACATATATAAAAAGTACAACACACTCAAGAAATCAGCCGCGATGCAAAGTAAATAAATAATTTTAATAGAAGACGCGATGCCCGAAAGACGTGAACAACGAAAATTTTAGCTTTGGTTTGTTTGTTTGTTTCGAAATTGTTGTTGCTTAAATGTTTTATAAATTCAAATTAAAATTATTAGAGCCTTAACTAAACTTCTAAAATAGCCTAAGAATCAGAAATCAGAAACGCAAACTACACATAAATTTATATTTACAGAACTTTTTCCAAAAGTGAAAAAGTTGAAAATATTTGCTTTTTAAAGAGAGAGATTTTGTTTGAAACATTTTGGACCATAGAAACCTACGATAAGGTCTATTAATTTTTTAACAATATCACCACTAATAGAAACTAAAGACAACATACACCCACGCCATGCCACTCTACAGCTTCTTCGCCTTCACATGTGTGGGTACGGTATGTCGTATGACTTCTGGACGCAGCAACAAACGCTTCAGCAAATAGATGACCATATACAGTACTGCTATATAAAGTGCTGCCACATCTATCAAATAATACTGCAGCCAACTGAAAAAAATGATATGGGTTCAGTGATATATACTTAAAAGATTTATTGAAATGTAAAACCTCATATTTCGTGCGGGTGACTGCAAATGATAGGCGCCTTTATGACGCAGAACATATTCAGTCCAGTAGACTGCAGTTTCCAAGGGCGTTGTACGCTGATCCAAGAGCAGTCTTTGGCGGAATCTAAAAATTAAAGCGTTTTATAATATAAATTGTGATATTAAATGCTATATAATATGCTATATACCGGGCTGCATTCCTATATTGTGGGTCATGTATCACTTTCATTATTGATTTATACAGTTGTGTCGCGCTTAGAGTGGCTAAATCCAATTTGATGGCATAACCATCAACCTCTGCTTTAGCTGAGTTCACATCGTGATCACAGAAGACAGGCATTGTGACAACTGGCACACCATGAAAAACTGTCTCATACATGCTCAATAGACCGCCATGTGTGACAAATGCTCGCAATTTCCTATGTCCTAGTATATCCTGTTGCGGCAACCAACGACTTATTTTGACATTTGGTGTTAAATCTGCCAACTCATCAGCACCGCCTTCGTATTTCCAGAGCACATGGTATGGCAAGCGTGCAAAAGTTTTCACCAATAAGCGACGTAGAGTTTCTGGCATATTTGCAACTTTAACCGATGAACCCATTGAAACGTATATAAAACCGGACTCTCCAGCAGATGCTATAAATTCTTCTAAATCTTTTGGCAAGGGTCTGGCTGGTTTGCAGTGTATGCAGGCTACCTCCGCAACATTTGGATTAAGCGCACGTGGATAAGATACCACTGCATGACCATTTTGTAAAATGAAACTCACATTTTTGGACATGTCGTAGGGATGTGGTATTTGTGTGCCTAAACGCTCACGCATCACTCTATACACCATTGCTATAACGAACTATAGGGAAACGAATTGTTAACATTCCATATATATGTAATAAAAATATACTAACCTTATGCATCAAATCCTGAAATACTTGCATCAAAGTATTACCGGCGCGTTCCAGCAAGTTCATATTGTCCGTAAATGAGGAATAAAAATTTGGTGTCACTGCATATGAACCCGGATTGCCAGACTTTGCTAAACTGCCCGTGTAAAAGCCAACTGTATTCATATACATAAAGGGTACTTTATATTGATAGACCAGTCCTAATGCACATTCGGGATATGCACCATCCAAAATGGCTAAGTCAAAATGCCGGTTCAATAGTTCCTTAGTTTCTGCATCCTCCAACATTGCATCGCAGGACTGGAAACAAAATACAGAAATTATTACTTGAATATTTTATGACTACTTCGACGCAATATGTAGGTTTATGTGTAAGAAAGTTTATTATAAATGTAAATACATTTTTTCACATATTAAAAACGCTTTCGTTGTTATTGCCAAAAACTTCGGCTCGTATTAGACGTGCTGTCAAGCATTACATTTATAATTTTTGTTAATTTTTGTTAATTTTATGCATGCATCATTAGGCAATAAGTGGCGCAAAACCGTTAAAAGTACTTCAAGCTTTTACCATGAACTGTAATGAAATATGGAATGCATTGGCAACAACAATAATAACAACAACAACAAAATTGTGAACGTGCCTCACATACTTTTCTATCATATTTAGGGTTCCAGAGCAAGAAACAGCAGTGAGTTTCTGTTCCAACGTAAATTAAGTTGACGAACCCCTATGCGTTTTATTAACCTCTGTTTTTATAATTTCATAATAAAATTGTTTAAATATCAAAAATATTGTGGTTAAATTTATAAAACCGATAGCTGTCAACTCTGGCTATATCAACGATAAACAACATTTGTCGACCCACAAAAATTATTCTCTATAAGTCGGCCCTTGTAGTGCATCTGTATGATATTGAAACATGGATGCTATCATGGATGGGAGCGTCCAAGAGAAAAGTTCGTTAATCTTATACGAGTTAGTGACGATACCGTATCTGACTAAACCATGAAGAGTAATTGCTTTATCCAGACACGGACATCATTAAACGACTTAATATTCAGTGGCTTCACTGGCTTAGTTATATTGTGCAAATAGATAGCGAAGGTCTAGCGAAAATATATTTGAAGTAGGCATTGGAAAAAAAGACGTAGGCGAATACCCTATCTTCGATGAAGTAATCTAATTAACAACCACTAATCACGAATCAGTTCGAAAGTAGATAGCGGATTGTTTTCGCCGAATAGGTAAGTAAGTTAGTAACTTACAATATTTAATTAACAGATTTTTCATACGTTAATAATACTATTGAAGTCTTTTGTGTCAATTTTTAGCAGGATCTGTTTTTATGCAATTCTTTATTTGCAAATTCAAGATAACAACTTTTTCAATCGAGATACACTTGAAGTGCAATTTCGATTTTCCATGGTTAAATCTCGAGTGAAATGCATAACATTCGAGATTTATTATTATGTTGAGGATAGTTGAGTCAGTGCACCTGAGCACTTTTACTCTCTATTAACTGCAAGGTTTCTTTAAAGCCCCTCTTTGCGCCTTGACTGGATTATTGTTTGTCACTTCAACAAACTAAGCAATAATTGACCTCAGATCTGCATACCTCCCCGAAGAGCCTGTAACCATTCTGTGATTTGATAACGCGGTGTTAGTAAGTCTGTCAGATTTCGCAAATAATTTCAGGGCTCTATCCTTTATGTATTTTTTGAGGGGATCAATCTTGAGGTCCCTGAGGATGTCATTCGTCCTAATGTACCAAGGAACTTTGAAAACTCTTCTCAGAGCCTGGCTTTGTGCAATTTCTAACTGATGAATAGTAGTGTTTAAACCTTTAATTCATAATAATTTATTAATTTATAATTAATAAAATATTTTTCCAGAGTACCGATATAACCCCGAAATTACAGCTGTTTTGTATGACTTTACAAAGAAAGTATGATTCGATATATGTATCTACCCACTACCAAAAATATTAGATTACTCTTAAAATATTCAATTGAGCAATAACATTTGTCAGATCGAGTATAAATCTAGAATCCAGATGGTGTATCCAGATTTACCAATCGAATAAATTGCCAATCATTTCTTTATTGGAGTCTAGTAAGTAATATTTCTAATGATTTTTAGATTTTAATTATGCCGAATGTAGCGCTCTTGTAATTATTTGTTGGCAAAGAGCATGAATATCATTCTACAGACAATCTGTTGATAAACTCATCAGCTGATAATTTTATTATTTTTTTTTCAGATTCTTTAAAAACATCGTTTTTACTGGACATTTCTGTTAATTAATCGTATGCCTTAAATATCGAGTGTAGAGTGCAGTGGGTGCATAGGTAAAACATTTAACAAATGAATTCCTAATAGTATTTTTGTGTTGTCAGTTTTTTTTAAATTTTCATGGTTAAAATACATTTTAGTTAATTTTCTTATTTTTAATAGGAAATCATTTATTTTCTTTTGTTAACTAAACATAAACTAATGTGACTTTTTACTGCGATTGTAAAACTAAAAAGCAGTTAATCATATTATATCATTACATCAAGTAAATCGCAATGATTAATATATTGTAAAATGATTATATATATATGAATGATTATATATATATATGAAGATGATTCAAAATCCTATAACACACGTTATAGTAAAACATACTCAATATCTATTTATAATACCCATTTCAAAGTTACAGTGTAAATTAGATGCTGTAATTAAGTATATTCTTTAGATTCAAATATATAGCATATTAGACACATGCAATAAATATATTCTTTATTTCTTATAAGTTAAAGCCAAATGAGCTGTGAAAAAGAACCTTGTGTCATTCTATAAAAATATTTTAAAGGCAATAAAAATTGTTTAAGCCATAATGTAATGTTAAAGCATTGAGTTTTTTTTTTATGTTATTTCCATGAAGGATACTCATACAAATTTTTTATCTACTGTGTATATGTACAGAAAATAAGCTCAACTATAAGAACTGAAAGATTTAATTGCCGACCGCTTACTCAAAAACCAAAAAGACAAGTAAATAATCTTCACTGTTCTACCGGACTTTAAGAAGATTCTACCCTAAAAATACTTTGTTGAACTATTCAACACCTCCAAAAGAGTTCATTGAAGCAGTCTTTGTCACCACTCCAATGAATAATCTTGATTTTATGCATAATTTGTCATTGTAATTTAATACGTTCAGAAATTATGATGGTTCAAAGTTGATATTTTTATAATAGTATGTTTCCATTGTTTGGTCGCTAATGAAGTTAATCAATCGTACACAGATCTTTTATTATACAAAGATTATTAAACGTAATTAAGAATATATTAAGGGAAATTAAATCAAAAATGTCAAATGCAAGATTGCAGAATATATTTTCCAAAAGGGAAATTATTGAAATCAAGCTTTCCTACAGACGACGATATTATTGAGCACTATAACTCTAAATTACTGGATCCAATTCTAAGCGCAACGGAAAGTGATGATGAGGGTGATGATGAGAGATTAAAGTCTCAAACCCTAATTTCTGAATATTTTACTTTACTATAACTTCTGTGCTTTATTTGATTACAAATAAATAAATATCTTAAAACGTAATTCTAGTTTCTTTCAAAAATAAAAAAAAAGTTTGACTGTACATTTAATTTTTTTGAATTCTTCTTCGTTTAAAATTGAAATGTTAGTAAACAAAAGCTCTCCCAACACTGTCACAGAACTTTCTGAGACATAAAAGCTATTTCACATGCATTAATCAAATTATGCCAATGGAAACAACCAAATTTTAATTTGATTAACATAAATTAATTTAGATGCAGTGTGAACATGGTATTAGAGTGAGTAAAAATTTTTTTGATATATAAGATTTCAATCTTTTCACTTTAAAGGCTCTTCTTTTTTTGAAGAAACCTGGTAATTAAATATGATTTATAAATTGCAATAATGCCAAAATAAATGTAAGCGTTAGATATAAAATCAATGAATAAATATTAATAATTATTAACAAATGAATAGAAAATTTATATAGTTGCCTAAAGTAAAAATATCAAAAAAAAAAATAATACTATAAAAATGCTTTACTATATAGTATAGTATACAATAACAATAAATTTAATATAATACGAGGGCGGTCTGATAAGTTAGTGACTTTTTGAACAAAACAAATTTTTTTCGGCAAATCATTTTTTTTCTACATAATCACCTTTTAGCTCGATACATTTAGTCCCAGGTTTTTTTAATTTTCTTATTCCCTCCAAATAATAGGTTTTCTCTTAAGCTCTTAAAATACGCGTTTTTTTGGTAATGACTTCTTCATTCGACTCAAATCTCTTACCGCCCAGTCATTTCTTTAGGTATAGAAACAGAAAATAGTCGCAGAGGGCTAAATCTGGAGAATATGCTGGATGGGGTAGCAGTTCGTATCCCAATTCGTGGATTTTGGCCGCGAATGCTTAATCTGCACACGAAATTCACTTTTTTCCATTTTCGTAAAAATTCACGAGGTTGTCTGGTTTGAACGGCTATCAAACACCAACTAAACGACGCAGTTTGCTCAAAATTAGAAAGTTGCCCACTGGTAGGTTACAGCTGACGGCAGCACTGTTGCATTTGGAGTAACTGCGCGAGAAATTCAAAAAGTCACTGACTTATCAAACTGCCCTCGTAATATAATAGTATAAAATAGTAACAATAAGTCATAAAGTTAATAAATAATTTATTTGTCTTAATAAAAATTATGTCAACTCATTACGCGTTAAGGTAGAGAAAAAATAAATAAATGATTGTAAGATTTGAGTCAAATATTAAATGATAATGTGTTTGATGTTATAAATGGATTAATATTCTAAAAATTATATTCTTTAAATTTATTTATATGCAAATTAACTTCTATTATACTCGTAATTTTTTTTACCTATTTGGACCTTATATGAATAAATTAAAAGCGGACTTTCATGATTCGCTATTCATCACATTTTTGCAAGGCTTGTATAAAATAAAAATTGTTTTTGATTGTAATTAGATGCATATATCCCCACGAAACTTATCCAATAATCATCGCAATATTATTAAAATACATACTTATTACTTTCAACCGCATTCATAAGCCACATAGATTTACTGCTCTCTGAATAGTATTGGTCTTAGTAGATATTATGGTTAGTAGTGTTAATTTAATACTTATGTGGATGTAACTAAATATTATGGGCAATCTCTTCAGTTGTAGTTAAATTACTGGTTAATTGTATATATACTTTGTTTAACCACTGGTTAAAAATCTTTGGTTATCTATCACTTATGAAAGTAATTTTTTTACTGTGACAATCAACTGATAGTTAAGAAAAATTTGAATTCCACATTTGAATAAAATTATTCAATTGGTTCAACTTAGCTGTATCATACGTAAGATTCTGTATTAAAAAACGGTTTCAATATATATGATATTATTATTATAAAGTATATTTATAAAGCTTTACATCTAACAATAAAAATGTTCAGATAAGTAAGTAATAATTCAATCACACTTTATATTTTCATTCGACTCACATATACCACATATTGTATTAAAGTTAATGGTGAAGTAATTAACAATAGATCACTTTAAATATGCAATAATTCAGTATTCATAAATTATAAATTTACTTTGATTTATAGCACATAAAATTTTGACAAATCCAAAAAAAATACAACGATACAACGCATATATCATATCACTCATAGACTTGTCATGACTATTAGAACGGCCATAAAATGCACTATGTAGGCATTTGGCAATCACGCCTTTATCTATAACATTAAAGCTTTTGAATTTTGATCGTTCAACTTAATAGAAGTATATAAACTATAAACTTTCAAATATTTGCTAACATTAGGCAACTTCAAAAAATTTAGGTTAAAATTGCAAGCTCTTCAACTTAGTTTGCCTACATAGTTTATTAAGTTCTACTGAGCAGTACTTGAGTAAGCCAAATAAATTAAAATATATCGTTTTATATATAAGAATGTAAACTAAAGCAATTTAATTTTTATTAAAGCATTAAAAAATTAAAAAATACTTAAATCAAATAAACAATTTCATCTTAAAAGTATTTTGCATATACGAGCTCAATTAAAGCTCAATTAGTCGGTACGTACCGTGAAAACTTAAGTTAAAGCGAAATACACAGGCAGGTTTAGTTGTGCATTTCGCTTTGGCTATAGTTCGCTTAAGTTTTTACGATACGTACGGATTAACTGAGCCTTTAAGATAATTGTCCTTAAATTAAAATGTAATTTAATATTAATCACTTCAGTCAACTCACCTGAAATGCATATCGTACTCCATCCCAAATTGTTATTGGCATCTCTCCAGACATTCGTGCCCCTAATAGATCCCAGTTTGTATAATTTTGTATATATTCAACCAAACCAGCTGGAGTGATTTCATGTAATCCCGTTAAATGAAAATCAGATGGAAAACCATTGAGGAAGGTGATGTTGTGTCCACTTGAAAAAAATATAATTAAAATTTATATTATTTAATTTCTCAGTATTAATTTGTAGCTTAAACTGTTAAAGTGTTATTTTTCATCAAGTTTATATATAGTGTATATTAAGAATTATTTCAAGATATGAAATCATTTTATTTACTTCATCATTGTATGAAAAAAGTATTACTTTCTGATTCTAAACTCTCAACAGAGAGTTAAATCTCTAAACTTTCAACAAATATACTCCGTTCTATTCCTACCAATCGTAATAACATTAATTAAGTTTAAACTTATCACTTTCATCCTCAAAAATAATGAATAGACTTGCTTTTCCGTAAGTAATCCAAATCTCCTTAAATGTTCTAATGAAAATATAGCTATATTCAACACGTCTTTGAGTACTCGTCTAAAAGGTTACCATAGATTTAGAACTACATATTAGTTCTAAAAGTTACAGAATGGTCTCTTCATAAACTGTTCAAATAGCATAAGATAATATACGTACTTTATGTGAATTGAATATATCAATTAATCATAGCAGTTAATTAAGATACCTAGATAATTTGTATAAATCAATTACTCACGTGTGCCTATATTAAATTAATTAAATTAATGACAATAAAAAGTCAAAAATTAAAATGATTTTATATTATGCCTCGAAAAGTGATATAGATCAGTGTTTCTCAACCCAAGATGTACTGCAAAGCGAAAAAATATATGTTTTATGAGGACCTATAAAATATTCACTGCATACAGACGAAAAGCTACGGAGAGACTAGGTGTTTAAAGATGATGATGAGGATGATGATGTACAGTAATTAACGACCAATAAAATATTTACTAAATACATATTAAAGAAAATTTTACTTCTCTTTCAGAAAATACAGAAAAGAAAAAGATATAAGAAAGGATTTTATTTTTGCAATATAGTTTACAATGCACCCTGTATTTTCTAGTACTTAAATTATAAATTAAAAAATATCAAACTTTCAATATGAAGCGTCAGCTTAATGACACACAATTTTAGGAATTTAAGTAAATCGATCAGCGAAACTAATTGGTTTTTTGTTATTGCAATGAATTGATTGATAAATTGAATGATAGTCGAGTCAATAACATGATGACTATGTGAAGCACCCACAAATACGACGTAAAATTCTTTTCCGAATACAAAAATATTATTATAGGAATTAAATAAAAAAGCTTAGTTATTAACATTTTTTTTGGGAAAATTATTGTTAATAATGCTTTGAAATGTCACCTGAAGGGTATGAATGACCAAAAAATCAATTTTTGGGTTATTACGACAATATCACGTCCAAATTTGTAGAGTACTGTCTTCAACTGGACAAACTGAATTAAGCTGTAGAATTGATCAATGGAAAATGTAAACCTACCGATATAAGGAAAGATCTGATGTGAGTTGCATGACTCACTGAAAACTTTAACATTAGATTGGTATACATTACTACACCTACCATATTCAAGTGTATTGGTACCTTTCATTGATCACTTATTTCGTCAAAAACTATTTGGATCTGTTAATTACAGAGTTCTGATAATTTATAAGTGTGGAAGCCTTATCTTAAAAAGAAATAGTAAAAGATACTGAATCAAGTCAGAAAGGTTCATTAAATATAGCTGTATTAGTTCAATAGATATACATAATATATGATCTATCTATGTCAGCAATATGAAAATATATAACAAAATTAAATTAAATAAAACTATGGTATTTAATAGAGAGATTTCGAACAGTTGAGAATAGCAACAACAAAATTTGTATTTGTTTTTAATTAATTGAAATTTTGACTGACCATAGCAAAAACTATGTTTTCGTTCTAAAATAATAGGAACATCAAGTGAATTTGTTAATGGAAAGTTCATTAACAAAACACCAAAAAAATGTGCGAACATACAAGTCAAGTATGGCTTTATCTTAGTTGGCTAATGAGCAGTGACTCTAAGTTTATAAGTTGGCAGGGCACGAGTTCAATCCTTGGAACTTGCATAATACATTCGTACGTATAAAATTATGAATGAATAATTCAATATAAGATCTAATTCCAAGATTATTGATGATGGATATTTGACATTATAACAATGATTTTGAAAATGAGCTTTTTTGCGATGTCTATAAGCCGTTGCTTTTCTAAATTTTAAGTTTGCATTTAAACTTGAAATTTTTTCTTTATTAAGATATATAGATACTTACAACAATTTTAGTAACTTGACTATATATTCCAAATATATATATATATATATTAGGGTGGCCGTTATTTACGAATGTGTTCAAATTCTAGATGCCACCCCCTAAATTTATACGAATACTCAAAAAACTACTAAATGTGAAGTTTTAGACAAATCGGATAATGTTTAGAGGTCGCTCATCGACCTTAAACTTCGGAAAAATGCCATTTTTTCACTTTTTTCAAATTTCTTCGCTCCCATCTCGCGTATTTTTCACCTTTGACTATTTGTACCAAATTAATATTATTCTTTAACATATTAGCTTTCAAATAAGGTAAAAATCAATCAGTTTCGTCGACAATTAACTAAATTATTACTAAAATAAGAAATCATACTCGACGTTTATTGAAGCTTTCAAGAGCAGCATAAATATGGGAGTAAATACGAGTACGTATGAGCGAAAGCACAGTTTCTTGGACACAAAATGGTACAATATAATATTTGAAGACAATCGAATACTTCCTCACTATATATAATTGTCCACACTTGATTTGAATAATATGCACAAAATAGATTAATATGTAAATATAATAATAATAATAATAATTTTTCAGACTCAAACTCTTAATTAATAAACTTAATGATCTTTTTGGGGCCATAAAATTCAAAATGTATCACACTTAAGTTGGATGGATTATATCAACTTTCACGCGGAATATTTTAGTACTTATTTATGCACTCACCGGTCTATTAATCCTTTTGCCAGTTCCCAAAAAGGAATTTTATGTGATTTTGTGCCTCCCATGGTAACCATTAAAATGTCAGCCGTCATCGTGCTGCCAATACAAAGGATTAAAACCAAGCCAAAGTAATTAAACGTCATGCTGAAATAAAAAGAAATTAATTATTTAATTTTTGCTGCTATTGGAAATAATAAATAGTATAAAATTCGTCGAATATTTCATCACACCTTTTAGAGGAAACAAAACAAAAGTTGTAAAAAAACTGCCGTAAATTGGAATAAGTTACTGATACTTATAGATTTTTTTTAATTTAAAAAAAAACGCAAATATATAAATTATTTTATTTGCTAATTTCTATTTCATGTATTTTTATTTTATTTTGTTTTTTTTTTATTTTTGTGTAATTATATGAAAATTTGAAATGACGCGACAGTGTAGATTTGCGGCAGAATTTTAATTATAGGGGCAGTGCCATTTGTATAAGTTCTGCACAACTCATTAAGTGGCAACTCATTTCCGAAAATGGATCTAACGATCACTTACCGCCACTTACTGGGTTGTTCAATTGTTGTGACGCAAGGACTGTTTTCGACAGAAATCAATACTTGGGCAAAGACCGGAGCTCATGTGAAGTCAAAAATGTTGTGCGAGGCTTCAATTAACTTTTGTGGACATGCAACGAATTTTTCCATTTGATATGCAATCTGAAATACTGAATACTAGTTTTGCACTCTGATAACTTTGAGTGCAATTAACTAATTTGGAAAACAGACAAATAATTCCACATACCATATGCCACATACCAGATACCAGGTACCAAAAGTGCCTATTCGAAAAGTGGAAAACCGTAAACAACATTTTGTTCGTATCTGTTGGAAAAATCAAATTTAGTTTTTGTGAAACGACCATGACCATTTTCGAACTCTTAATGTTTTTTTTTATTCATATGAATTTCCATTTAGTTGGTAATTAAAATTTAATTCTAAGCCTGTATTTGTTTATTATGGTCATTTGGTATTATACGATCGTTAAATCGATAGATATAGCATATCATGTATGTTAGCAGGTTCAAGGGGGCAAAGCGTTCTTAAAATTGTTGCACTTGCAACATTTTTCTTTGATTAAACTTGTTTTTTTTTTGTAATTAAACTGAAGCAAAATTTGAAGCAAATTTACTCCGATTAAGTTTTTCAATTAAATATAATTTGTGTTGCTTTAAACAATTTATTTATTGCAGAAAAAACTAAAATCATAATTGATATGAGTAGAAATCAGACTTATTACTTAAACAACCTTTGCAACACGACTCTAATAGGAATGTGTCAAATTTAAAAAAAAAAATTGAAGAATATAATGATCCAAGGAAAATATTTATCATAGTAAATTTTATTTTATTTATATTCACCGAGATCCATAATACCCAGATAAGGCATTTGCAGTTCCGGAAGGCAACTGGTATTCAGTGAAATTCTTATACCATTTTCGATTTGTAAATCTTTATTCAATCTACATTCAATCTACAGATTATTCAATCTAAAGTAATCTGATATTTTTTGTAATTTTATTAGTAGGCATTTAAAGTGTGTAAAGTATGTCACACTTTATTTGTAAAGTCACACAACACAACTTTCAGTTGTGTAATCTTGCTACTCTAGCAATATATCTATAGTTTTATAAATTAATATCGAGTGTTAACCATTCGCACCAGAATGGTTCCAAATTTATTTTATCTCCTTCAAAATATGCTCCTTCTGAAGCGATATATATATGCCAACCCAATCTTCCATACACTTTTTGTGGGCCCGTGCAGATATGGCTTTTAGTTCCTTCCGCGAATTCTCTTTTACCGATTCAATCGACTCAAAACGCTTACCACGAAGGGGAATTTGAGTTTTGGCAACAGGAAAAAGTCGCACGGTGCCAGATCTGCGAATATGCTGCCTGAGCGGTGACAGTGATACCGTGTTTGGTCAAAAAATCAACCAAATCGAGAAAAATTGCGTCCATAGTAAAAATCGCTGAATGCACTTGAGGTAGTCTCACATTAACAGCTGCTGTAAACTAACTAATGGACAGATGGCGCTCAAATTTGTACCATATGTCAAGAAAGGATGTACCAACATAACAAAACAAAAAGGTCTATTACTTAAGGAGTAGTTAACAAATAACAAAATCCTGATACTTTTTGAGCAGACGGTATATATATAATTAAAGTTTTTGAAAACAAAAATATAGAAAAAAAAAATAACATAATATTAATATAAAACAAGGATCTTCTATTACTAAACTTTTACAAATAGATTAATATTGTAAAACTGTGATAATTATAATTTTTTTACATTTTTCCTTTTTGCCTATCCAAGTTCATTAGTACTTTAGTAAGTTTCTTAGGTTAGGTAGGTTGTGTTATATCGGCGATACCAAGGGAACCCCTTAGGCCTATAGGCCCATAGTGTTAACGTATAATCAAAAACTCAGGGGCCACAACCACTTAGAAGCTTATTATGCTATTGAAGGGAAGGTCTTGCAGCTCGTCAAAATTCTTAAAAAAAGAAGTCCCTAAAGTGGTAAGGCGGCGCTGTGCATGTAATGGTCAGAAACATACCAGATGAGAGTTTCTTAACTGAAAAGAATTGTTAAGAATGCTTTCAAATGCTTAAACCATAAGCTGTACTAATTTTGAACATATTGTCACAAATTAGGCAATATTCTTAAATTCTGTTGAACTTTATTCTTTTGGCTACTGGTTCCATCGATTTCAATAATTTAAATAAATTATATCTTTAAAATTTTATAAATAAATAAATATTGAATGCTAAGTTTTTGAATCCAAAGCTCAAGTGTATAATATAACTCAAACTTAATTAATTGCCCTTACAAATAATGTGATAATAATAAGTAGTATTGAGAGAGTTTCGCAAAGTATTCTGTAGTGTAGTGTAAAAAAATTAGGAAGAGTTACCACCTTAGCAAAGTATAGAGAATGGATTTACCGGAGACAATATTATTTGCCAAAAGGCGTTATTTTTTCTAGCAACAATAGTTAAACAGAAACTGTAGTCGTCTTTGCACACAGCTCTCAAATAAATATATGATTGAATATATAACTTTTTTGGAGTCTTACTGAAAAGTTGCTTTTCCGATATTAGAAGCTTTTGCTTTACAGAATTTAAGCAAAATCTTTTGTTTTAATCCTGTTTTTGTTACCAGAAGGAAAACTTTCATAATATTCTTTTAACATCTAGTAGAAAATATTATCTATAATTACATTGGTGAGACATATACTATAAAAAGAGTGACTTAACGTATTCAAATTTTACTAAAAATTTCATATTTATATATTTACTAAATTTAATTTACTTTAGTAACTTCATTAAATAAGAACAGTGTTTGATTTAACAAGAACCAAAAGAAAAGAACAAAACATACTCGTTAGGACAACTTAGGCCATCAAAATAAAAATATCAATTTCTTCCAAATATTTTTATATATTTTTTATAAATAAATTTTTGTATATTTATATCTATATATTTCTATTTTTTTATGTATTTATATATTATTAATGGAATTATGTATATTCTGATATTACAATAGCTTAGAGAAAACATTGTGTTTTATTTTGTTTATTTAGAATATATTTAAATTTAGGTTTGTTAACTGCTTTCAAATTATTTAAAACAAATTAAAATTAAATATGTTTTTGTCACATATTTCGGTATATGAGTATGTTTATATATGGTTTGGTATTTATATTTCATTATATTAACAATCATTCATATTGCCATACCAAACAAATTTTTAGTAAACCTGATTAAATCTATTTAAATGCGTAAATACTAGATTACTTAATAATTTTAAAATAAAATATTTGCATAAGTCTTTCGGCAGTTTAATTACACATATTTATGTGAATTACACATATATATTAAAATAACATATATACGAGTATAAGCTTAAAACAAATATATTTACAAAAATTTGAAAAAAACAGAAAATGTTTACAAAACTAGTTTAAGTATTAATAAAAATAAATTAAAATTTTATATTTTAAATAACATATTACCAATAAGACATTTCCCAACTGCTTGACACGTGACAATTTTACTACATTTCCAGTCAAGCAATTTTAGTAAACTCGCTTCCCAAAGTGAGTATTAATGGCATTATTGTGAATTCATTTCTACAAAATCCCTATTCTGTATCCATATCCAATAACTAATACTTAATTTCGCCCTAGCTTACTTTCAGATTTGTGGCCCCTTAATATTTCTCACTCTACAATTTTTTAATACGAGCTTTAGGATTTTTCGAACCTCAGAAAGCTGAAAATCTTAAAACCTACATATTCATACCCATTTAAATATGTCAAATATACTTTTATTTCAATAAGTTTTGAAATCAATGGGTTTTAAAATTGCAAATCTTTTTTTCAGAAACTGCAACTATTCAAAATTTTCTTAAAAATGGTTGTTCTTCATTTTTTAAACATCCACTTTATTATATCTAAAAGAAATATCCTGTGGTAGGGTTTCTATTTCTTGCATTTTTTGAAAATTATTATTAATGGCGACTCAAACGCATTCTATATCTCAACTCAAATAATTTTTTCCATTCCGTGGACCAAGACATCACCACATAGTACGGTCAAACGACAACCGCTTTATATATTTTAAAGATTTATGTGCTATAGATCTATAAACTATTAATACTAAAGGTGCTTGGATGAAATGAAAGAATGATCAAATCTGCCCCAATTAGTTAAAGTGCCGCTTTTGCTTCTGATTGTTTTAGACCAAGACGATGTTGAATGTTGAACATGTTGTTTAATAAAAGAATATGGCACATATAAACATAAACCTGAAGCTGTATAATCCTAAAATAGCAGGTGCCTCTTTTTTGACCGTCGGTAAATACAATCTACAGGATCAAATATAGCAGTTTTAGCAAATCAAACTTAGCTGGATTCTGTAGTGCAATGTCTCGTAAGAACAGATGTTATCTCAGATACTTCTAATTGCTCCTATAGATTAACTCAGATGTTTTATTTATAGAGTATAAAAATGGGGATGGCAGTGCAGGAATAATTGGAACGAATTCCAAAGCAATCGCAATGGGAAAACCCGCTTCCATTTTT